CTTAGGATTTCAAATTTCCACTCATGGATATCCTAAAATGTCAATAAAAGACTCTTTATTCATAAATAACTGATATGCGGCAATTTACGTCTGTACATTTATCTTGAAAAGTCTGTAACCATCCAGTTGTTTGTTGTTGTTGTTTTTTTGTTTTTTTGTTTTTTTTGCAAACTCTACATAAAACATCCAAACGGTCCATTTTGTTCAGTACAAAATAACACAGCTGTTTGGCATTACCAAATATATATGTATATATATTTATAGATATGTACATGTGCTGAAAAAGAAGCCAGTGCAGCCTTTTCTAAGAAGTCCATCCAAGTATTTACTGTACAACATTCAGAATTTACATTGATAATACAAGGCACAAAAAGTGTGGTATGAAGCCAAGGCCATGCTTTATTCAAACTCTCCTCTGGCTTGCTCACTCCTTCAGCTTCATGTCAATTTAAGTGTTCAGTTCTGCTTTTTTTTTTTTTTCTTCTGGCTTTGAACACATCAAATAAAAGTTGAGAGTGGTATGGGTTGGAGATATGAATCACGAAAAAAAACCACCCCTCCTCCTCCACGTACTTTCCCAAAATAAACAGAACAAAACGAAATTTGTTTTAAAGTTCTTCATACAGAAATGGAGGTAAACAGTTACTCAGATTTGTTGAGTTTGGGTCAGAAGAATAAGCCAGTTTTCCTCTAATTGCTTCTATCTGCGCTATTTCTGGGGGGACACTGTCTTGCGTGTACCAATTAGAAACAACTGTGAAGAATGGGAAATTTAGAATCTGTCTTGATTCCAATTTAGAAAGGAGAGAATTGTTTTCCTGACCAGAAAATTCCCACAGTGAGTTTCACCTTCTTATAGAGATGTGTTGAATGGGAAGGGCCTGCATGATTGAGATTGGTCCCTCGAGAGGGTTTCTGATTGAAATTTTTTACCTACACTCTGATGAAGCTTAGATCACAGCCTCCCTGTAAGAGGTGATCTTACTTTAGCATCATCAGAGTTCGCTAATGGAAGGATATTGGAATTATTAAATCTATTTGTGATTGTAATGTCTGTTTCAGTGATGGGGGTCATAAGGCAAGATATTCTGCTTACGATTCCCTTAAAATATCATCTTCCCATAATTCAATAGAACCATTGTTAAATCTCTACCTCCTGTATCTCTTTAATTTGAAGGTACTTGTACAATTTATCCCATTTTGGAATTTGTATGTAAATAATGCCTGCAATAGGGAAATACTCTTTGAGGTTAGCAAGATTTGAGGCAAAAGGACATTTCTGTCACAATCATGCCTTTTTTGTAAAAGTACTTAACACACATTTCCACTCATGCAAGAGTTACTTTACCAAATTTAGTGATCCATTTTATAATTCAAGGCGGTAACTTTTTGGAAAGGAGGATGTATCCTCTGCCCAACTCAATCATAGGGGTGGGGGAGGATATTTTTAAGCTTAGGCCTAAACATGAAGCTTACTGCCTTTTTAATCTTTGGGTTCAGATGGAGGGTGGACCCTAAGACATGAAGTTCACTGTCACCATCTTAGGTCCACCTCATGAGGACATTCCAAATCCATGATCTTCACAGCAAAAGGAAAAAGCAAAGTAGCTGCTTCAAACACCACAATTATTCTATGTGAGTTAAATTTCCTACTTCAGATCACAGTACTACACACTAGTGACTAACAGCCAGGTCTGATTTCCATCCCCTTTTTATCTTTTGAAAAAAAACATAGCACACAGAATTGCCATTTTGCTCTTTTGCTGATGACCCTGGGATGGGGATGTGAGGAGTCCATGGTAGACGCTGGCTCTCCTAGAATTGCTTTTGCAAAGAACACCACATGCTGTCCATACAGCCAAACAGCTTTTAGAACTGCAGCTTTTGAAAGAGTATGGGAAGTAAAAACACAAAATATGTAACACGTCTAATATTAGCAACATTTTCACTTTGTGACATTCGACAAAATACATTTTGCTTGTAGTTCAGGAAAACTCTATGCAGACAAAACAGTGGAAGCTGCGGAAAAGGGTGGCCGTTCAGCTTTTGGCTACAGCATCGATTTTTCAAATACAGCGCTATGGCAACTAACACTGAAGGGCTAATAAAATTTTGTCACTATCTGTAGGACAACATTTTGCTCTCCCATTTGCTGTGGATGTGACCCCTAGTCCGGTCAATGGGAGATACCAGGATTCAGAACTTTGCAATGTTTCATGAGGAAAAGTAATGGAAATGGGCCCCATGAGGGGCCATAAGAAGCATGTATTTCAGCCCCGTCAGGTTCCCATGACCTTCCCAGATCTGGGACAGAGACCTTGGAGGGAATTTCACCTTCACCACATCTGAGAGTGATTATTTCACACCTTTACAGAAGGACTAAGGGATTGTGGTGAAAATGGCAAAAGGAAAAGCAAGCACGTTCAATGATCTTCTCACAGTTTGAAATCCATGGGTAAATTTGCCAGAGGTTTGGCAAGTGGAGAATACTATCTAAAATCCATTACAGATGGTCCCCCAGTTATGACGGTTCAACTGACAATGTTCTGACTTTATACGATGGTCCAAAGGTGATAGGTATTCAGTAGAAACTGTCCTAGCAACTTTGAATCTGGATATTTTCCTGGGCTAGCGATACGAGGGATGACTCTCCCGTGATGCTGGCTGGGCCCCGGGCAGCCACCGCCCCCCACCTGGTCAGCCATGACATCTCAAGGGTAGACCAGCAGGATGCTGGCAACCATTCCGTTGTTTGTTTTCAGTACAGTATTTGATCAATGACATGAGATTTTCGACACTTCCTTACAAAGCAGGCTTTGTGTTGGATGATTTTGCCCAACTTGAGGCTAATGTCCATGGTCTGAGTGTGCATCAGCTAGGCTATCGGCTGTGGTATTTTTGATTTAACTATATTTTCGACTTACGATGGGTTTGTGAGGACATGACCCCATCATAAGTCGAGGAAGATTTATATTCCATTTTCATATTCCACTTTGTGATGTTGAGAATTTTTCTCAAGGAAAATAGGGGCAACAAATCCAGAACTTTTAATCCAAAGAGAACCCTGGTTTAGTCATCTGACTTAATAACCCTTCTCAAAGTCAACTGAAAGAAAAACGTAGGGACCATGGCACAGGAGAACACCTGCAGCTGGAGATAAAAATAATAAGAGAGAGAAAATTTCCCCTCTTTAAAGAGAATTGTGTCAATTCCTATTCATCTCTTACAAAAAGGCCAATAAAATTTTTGTGGGAGTACATCTGAGTTTTACGAGACTTTCTGCACCAGTAAATGAAGTTTGCATTTAAATCCATAGAGTGAGCTTCCTTTTGGCTTAAAGGATTTTGATGTAAACTGGTAAGACTGCACAAGCAATGTTGTAAAAACTGTAAATTAACTTTATGATGCAGCGGCAGTCTGGTACAGCTGTGAAGTGTACCTTTTGGTGGCATAATTTGAAGTCCTGTTTAAAGCATGACCATTAGACTTGAATGCCTTTGAGGACTGAAAGATTTGGCACTAAATGGGATATTTTGAAAAATTTTAAGTAACCTGCCAAGTATTCAAGCCCATTTTTCATGTGTTGGTTCCTTTTACACTAGGACAATAAGACTTCTAAGGTAAGCACATGTACTGACAAGTGAATCTCTTTCTAGAGGGGCATTGGTGTTGTGACGGGAAAATATTAAAATAGAAAAAGGGTTTAAGGTCACAGTGAGTAATCACAAGTTCAAGTTCAGTGAAGTCCATCTGATCTGTGATTTCCGCTCTTCCCTGACACCCCGACTCCCCAACCATGTCGGTAAATCTCACAAACATAGGTTCTCTTTGGAATTCTATTGTAAAATAGGATCCTGATGTGCAACGGCCACAGAATTTCACATATTCCTGTAGAAATCCTATGTAGGATGCTAGCAGAAATAAGAGAAATGAAAAGAAGGAGTAAAATAGGTTGAAAGATGGATTCGAACCTTAGGCTGAAGTGAGCGGTGAATTGTGTTAATTTGCTTCTTTGTTGTTCAATATGGTATGATGATCTTGTGAATTTATAAAAATCCAGGCCCCCCCCACCAGAAAAAAAAAAAAAAGTCCATGGTTGGAAATTCTAGACGTTGAGGGTGGATGATAATCTCTTAGCTTAAAATGATCTAGATTCTAGGGAAGATATTAAATTTTTTCATTTAAGATATTAAAAACATATCAGATCTAAAAAGGATCTGTGTGGATTCTCGGGTTATATGAAGCAATTATATAAGGCCAATTAGAAAGGAAAAGGAAAAATGGGTAGGATGGTTTGTTTTAAAACAAAAATCCTCCAAGGTGGAAATTTACAAAAGTTCTCTCTGATGTTTCCTGCAAATTATTATTAAAGTCAATGCAGTTTCTTTCTGTATACTACCATGCCAATAAACTCTCTAGTTTACTTTGGGTGACTGACCATCTATTTCAACATGTTCTCTGGAAGAGCAACATTCTTGCTCTTCCAGAAATGCTAGCAAGGGTGTCAGATGATTTACCCTCTCCTGCTTTCTCTTTGCTCATCAGAAGGAATAAATAAGTAGAGCACGTTAGCAAAAGGGTCTTTGCTTGATCTAGAGAGGTATTATGAAAATATGCTCAGCAGTTCTAAGAGGATTTGTTTGTTCTATATGATATGCCTTTGGCTCCTGAGAAAAGCAAGATGCTTTTGAATTTCATGTAGCAAAGCCTTTCATCCAATATAGGAGACCTATACCACACATTAGTTAGAGAAAATGGCTAATGCATTCAAGAGTTGCTAATGCCTTACTCATGGTTTTATAAATTACACCTATCTCTAGGCCTTTTTTACTTCAGTGGAGATTTATGTTTTGTTTTGTTTTACATGAGACTTACAAAAACATTTAAAAAAAAGATTGATCATAACCCCATTGCCAAGTACTCTCCAACACCCCCATTCCCTGACTAGATTTTATTTTAATGTAGCCAGCCTCTAAGTAGCTGATCAGTCTTGTAGATAATCTAGGTCCTTGACCTTGCCTGTTCTGATTGTGGACAGCTAATTAAAACATCCACCAGAAGATGAGCAGGAACAGATCGGCGCATCTTTAGTCTGCCAGGACATCTTTTCAAAAACTATTTCATAGGATAAAAGATGGAGTAAAATGTTCAGGTGAGTTTCATGAATTATTGGTGGACTTCAATTCTCCACAATATCATTGCCTGTTTTTTTAAAAAAGAACCGTAAAGCAAGAGTCCCATATTAACAATCCTGTAGAGAAAGCATACCTAGTGAGGTTGAGTAATCAGAGCTTAAAAGCTTCCAGAACAATGCATGTGGTTTCTGGGACATTGTGGTAGACCTACTCCTCATGTCTATTTGCTCCTATCATTTAGACCAAAGACTATCTGCTAATTTTCCAAGAAGCAGAAGCAGAAGGAGGATGCCCTATAGCTCTATGGAAAGATTTTGTGACAACACAGTATCAAGGGGCTAGAAATTTTCAGGAACCTGGATTGAAAAGTAGAACAGGACCCCTCATCCCCTCATAAAAATGTTTAGAGAATGGGTCAACACCTCTATCCTAGAATTATAGCTTATCTGAGGCCTGTGGCATCCGCAGTCCCTGTCCTATTTTGGGCTCGATTTGATACTGCCTCCCCCCAAATCCAAGTAATAAGCTGTGTTCTAATAGCACTTTGCACCTTGAGTGGCTGGGCTGGGAATAGAGGGTTCTGCATTGTTGAGTTAGGAGAAGTAAATTTCCATATTGAGAAGTTTAATTAGCCTCCTTGAAACCACTCCTATGTTATAGGTAAGGAAGGGGAAGAAAGAATGTGGGTAGATTTGTCTCTGGGAGAGAATGAAGGTGGCATACACAGCAAGAACTAGTTTGTGGTCCATCTTACCTTCTGATCTTATTTCCATTAAGTGGTTAGGATAAATAGAGAATCGGTGCTGGTGTGATGTACTCAGAGTCTAAATTCTAAATGCCTTCCTTGACATTACCAAAGTCCTACGAATGGGTTGGCAACCCCATTTCACTTAGAAAAGCCAGTTTTACAATGATTGTTGACATCACTGGATGCCAGTTGGTAGACAACCCTGACAATCTGGTACCAGAATCAGCTGGCCCTTTGGGGCACATCATTAAAAACCTGTTTTGAGACATGCACGATTCAATCTCTGCCTTCCTGGCTTTATTGTAGCTCATCTTTCCCCCACAATTGCTTTGATCTAACTATGCCCTCACTTTTATCCTTACCACTCCAAAGCTCAGAAAGTTCATCAAGTGTGAACCCAAGTGTGGATTCAGATGAGACAGTAGAGCCCTCTTATATTTAAGAGAGCTTGTACTCTTCCCTATTAACATATTATACCTATATAAAATTCAGTTTCTTCAACCAGGGATTCTCACTGATTGTAAATGAAGGCTGAATTCTCCAAATGCCACTGGGCAGAAAGCTGTCTCTTTCCCATTTAAAGCAAATGTCCCGAAGCTGGCCATCACTCTCTCATGAGCGATCGTGGACTACAGTCCATTTTGCCTGCTGTAGTTGAAGTCGGCTTCATCGAGCTGGGATTCTGCAATGTTGGAGAGTTTCGTGTGTGTCCTCCCAATCTCTTCAAGGGCACAGGCCAGGGAGTCAAGATCACCATCGTGCTGATGACGAGCTTCCCACAGGTTCAAAATGACAGCAGATGGACTACTTTGTGTAGCAAAATAAGATAAATTCCTAGACAGAGAGATTTAAAGAAAGAAAGAACAACAAAAATGAAGACGGAATTAAAGAACAAATAAAAATCACTATAAGGAAATTAAGAATGACTTGCAGTGGATATTCTTACAATAGGAATAGTATGTGAATGGGAGCTAGGGACAGGTCTCCAAATGACCTTGGGATTGCTCAGATTTGATCTCTCTCCACCTCCTCAAACTCAATGCATCAGAAATGGTTAGCTCTCCTATATTTCCAGATTGTCCCCCTTTGTAACTATAAAAAGTATCACTGGGATTGCAAACGACCTTTTAATCTCTCATACTGTGACATTTATTTTTGACTTTTCTCTTTATGTTGTTGCTTGCTTTTTGACATACTCAGTCTTCCTTTGCCCTTTGAGCCATTAATGCTGGCTTAGGTAATACTTTGCTTTTTGCTTTCATTCAATCTATTCTCTCCATTGGGAAGACCCATTTCCTTCTTTACCCTCTGTTTATCAAGATCGTACATTCCTGTTCATGCCTGGTTCAATTCTCCTCCACTCTTTGTTCAAAATGCTTTATTTTTTCTCTGAATTCTTTCTACTGTTGTGTTTAAATTTTCATATGAATAGGTTGGTTATATATTTCATGTGAGTTTTGCCCACCCAGCATGATTATAGACATCTGAAGGGAAAGGATCATAGCTAATAATCTTCTGATTCTGCAATAGTCCTTATCATAGTACTACGAGAGGTGTTTATTCAATATCCATTGTCTTGAGTAATTAATTGCTATGAGCTTTTTTTCAGATGATACAGGATCTTCAGTGAAAACAAATGGTGACCTTTTGGACAATGACTTTGCTATGATGAAGATTAAGACAACACAAAAGATTAAAGGTCACACAATTTTTCATAGGCACTTTTACAGCAGGGATAGAAATGTCGCCTTTGGTAAAATTTTGATAAGCTGAAAAGATCTTTGAGAGTCAACCAAGAATTGCGTATTTTGAGGATGGCACTACTTTCCCTCACCACATTCGGCAGTCACAGAGTAGACTCATGTAACGAGCGCTTGGAAGAGAAGACAAGCTTTTAAGGGCACATTACCATTTACAAGCACCACACACACATACAGTAATTTTGAGTGAATAATGTGCTGTTTTATTTAAAGGGCTCAAGGGACTGCTTAAAGCCAGTTTGGTTGCCAAATAGCATGAATATCAGGGTACTATATATACTTTCTACTACATCTGAATCTGATTGAGAGAGGGAGAAGGCCAGCTTAAAAATGTTCTTTCTAGCTTCTTTTATCTTCTTTCCTTATTTCCCTTGCCCCTTCCACTCACTTGGAATCAAATACAGTTACTTCTATACTAATAGAAATGGCAAATCAAATGGCTTGGACAATTGAAGGGATTCTGGTTCCTTTTATTTAAGAACTTTGTTTTGAATATTGTCACTTCTTCCTGGTCAGGGCCAACGTTTGTAGAGCAATCGGCTATATCTCTAGGTCTGTTCAGTCAACTGACCCACCCTTCCCAACATCCAGGCAGAATGAGAACTGAGGGAATAGCTGAGAAAAAGGCAAACTGAGAAAGTAGGGGTGGGTTAACTCTGGGTAGGCTGTGTGACAATCTCTTCATTTCCCTTTTGAGAATAAAGACCATAAACACATGTTTGTTCCTGGAATGGATAAATATTTATGTTCTCCATTGTTGTTTCAAAAAGAAAAACAAGAAAAAAAGAGAAGCATAGATTTCTCATCATTCTATTGAAGGTTTATAGTTTGTATTTGCTCTTGAAAAACAATGGACTAGTGTCCCATTAGAATAACTAGAATCCTTGTGATCTTTTCAACCCCCAAATTAGGCTTTTTTCTATACCAGGGCTCGACAAATATTTCTATGAAGACCAAATTATAAATATTTTTTACTTTAGGGCTCATATGTGGTCTTTATGTGGACTTTAGGGGCCAACTTTGTTATGGTAGTGTGAAAGCAGCCATAGACAATACATGTGAATGAGCATGACCACGTTGTAATTAAACTTTATTGACAGATACTGAAATTGGAATGTCTTACAGTTGTCATGTCACACAATATTCTTCTTTTTTTGATTTTTTTTCCTGACCATTTAAAAATCCTAAAACCCTTCTAGCCCCTGGCCTATAGGAAAGCAGATGGTGGGCCAGATCTGGCTTTTAGGCTATAGTGCTGATCTTTCTCCTATGTTGTCTTACAACCAAGCTAGATTTCCAGAAGTGGTAACGATTTGAGAGAAGATTAGACTGAACTTTTCATTTTGTGCTGCATTTGAAAATGAGTACCCCGAGGGCTAAAGTTGTTGAATCCACAAGTTACACATCCTGCCTCAAGCACTTTGAAAGCTTCATCCTCAGTAAATGTTCAGGGATCTTTGACATTTCAAGACATGACAAGAAGACCTGGGCAGGAAAATGCAATAATAAAACTCTGGGAGAGGCGTACAGAATACACTTCGGAGGTCGGGATGAATCTTTGTCCTAACATGATATTAAAAGTTCATGAATCTGTGGTGAGTATGGGAGTGGGCATGGGAAGGTGTTCTAAGTAAGTATACCTGACCAGAGGAAGAGGAGCAGGGATGGTGAATGGCTCCTGTCAGCCATTAGGTTCTCAAAAATCCCACAAATGTTCTGATTTGTGAATAGGCACCCAGGGCTAAAGCAAACTAAGTGATCAAGAGAGGCAGAAATATAATTCTCACTTGGCACAGGTCTCTGAACATATTGTAACAAGTGAAATGTGCTCCCCAAAGCATGGCTCAGATTTATACTCTATATAAGCACATTCATCATAACACACACAAATCTCAAATTCCACTTAATTTTAGTAGATACATACAGGAACATAATCAGTCTTATTAAAAATGATTCAGTTAGCTTTGTGATAAACAGACCTCCTATTAAATTACCTTTACTTGTCTACACCAGAATAATTAGTATATAAAAGATCCTAAAATCCTTTTTTTTAAATTTATTTATGATAGTCACACAGAGATAAAGAGAGAGAGAGGCAGAGACACAGGCAGAGGGAGAAGCAGGCTCCATGCACCGGGAGCCCAACGTGGGATTCGATCCCGAGTCTCCAGGATCGCGCCCTGGGCCAAAGGCAGGCGCTAAACCGCTGTGCCACCCAGGGATCCCAAGATCCTAAAATCCTAATGCAAAAGGCTACTCCTCTAAGATAGTTGGGTTATTTTAACTGGTTATATATGTGCAAATGCACTGATTTTTGTTTTGTTCTGAAAATTTGTATACCACGCATCTGTTTGGTTGTTTCCATACTGCCCTTTTGAAATTATTCTGATCCCAACCTATGTGACCCATTTCTCTTCATAATGGTGGTGCATTTGGACACTAGCACACACAATTCAGGGAATATTATTACTACTAGAGAATAGAATTCATAGCAATAGTTGGTATTAAGCAATTTTCTGATTGTCTTTGAATTTTTTTTAAATGAAATCAGAACATTTAGCAAAAGTAATAGTCCTGAAATTTAAGTGGATGCCTCAAAATAAAACTTATTTTTTTATTTCTCTTTGAAATACGTTTAAAGAACCGAATGGTAATTCTGGTCTTAGATGCTTCAAATTATTAATCTTTTTACATTCTGAACTCTGGGTGACCTTTTGTCATAGCCTTTTTGAATTCTGAGACTGAAGTTATTTTTAAAAAAATAGGATTTTTATTTTTGTGGTGTCATAAAGATGCTGTATATTATGCAGATAAGATTACTCTTAAATTTTAGGAATTACTTTAGAATCCTTCTAGGTCTTCAGGTTTATTTGTCCTAAGCTTTGAAGATTGAATGGCTTTATCTTTTCATTTGGAACTCCCACTAAAATAGTAAACTATAAAAAAAAACATGCTAAGACAGTTGGACAAATTTATCTAAGTTTATTGAGTAATAATGGCTTGTGAAATTTAATTTTGTTTCATTAAGCCTACATGCCTTCTATTCACCTGAGTTCTGGGGGTGGGGGGAATGGTGTTGTTTTATTACCATGATGACTTTCCTCTGAGACTTTCCTATCCCCATTCCTCATCCTCAATTAAAATCCCATGCTTTAGGTGGAAGCCAGGACAGAACTGGGAGCATGAATCTTTACCTTAGCAATTTCACTAGCTAGACACAGGCCTACCTATAATGGTGTATATGGTCGAAAACCAAATTTTTATACAGAATCCCAGTTTTCAAAACACATCTTCAAGTTAATAACCATGTTAAACTAATCATGGAGATTAGGTTAAAATTTGAGTATTTCTGGAAATCATGACTGTGCCTTCTGTTTCCTTTTTTGGATGCGAGGAGGAGGGGAGAATGAAGGGATCATGATCCAATATCTTTATATCCCATTATACGAAGGGCTAGTTTTCTGAAAAGGAAAAGTGGCTGGCTGTCCCTCTCCTGAAAATTCAGAGATACTGCCTTTTCTTAAGTACTAGAAAGCAGCATTCAAATGTAAATATCTCCAGGACTTACAAATCTTCAATCAGTTAACACAGAGATAAGAGTCCTGGGGTGCAGAGTAGGGGGTGGGAGGCAAGGAGGCACAGGTCTGAGGCTCAATCTTAGCCCAGGGAAAACATTCCAAGGGCACAGTGCGCTCACACTGGAGGTGGCCTGGCTCCGTGTTCTTCTGTCAGGTTGTGTGTGTGGCCTACAAGGAAGGGCCTCCCTTTCATACTAAATTCATACTGAATTCCAGATAACAAACTCTGAATCCTGCTATGATGGGGGCTGATCGCAAGCTGTGAGCTCTTCTTTGTCATTAACTGGGAGAATGGATTTCCTACCGAAATATAGTTGGGGAACCACATTAGAACTGCGCTGAATGTCGTGATTAGCACAGAAGACACCCTCATGGCAGGGGAATGCTGCAAATTCATGCAGAATTTAGGATTTCACCCAACGCCTTCAAGTAGAAGGGGGAGGGGCATTTGCACCTGTGATATGAGAGGCACCAAGTATGTTTATAGTTTACAAAC